TTTTTAGGGTTTCCTGTGTTTTTTAGAGTTACATTGAGTAGGTGGAAATTCTTTCTTAATTATGCATGGTGGGTGGCTGCTTAAGGAGATATTTTTTTCCTTAATGAGCCCAATGCTTCCAAAAGGGCAAAGAGTTACTTCACGGCATTTTGCTCCAATATTTTGTCTGAGTCAACCTACCTTGTAGAAGAAAAGGGAAAGCCAAATCAGCAGAAATAGCAAGGCTTCAATAATGCAAGCCCATTTTTTAACTCCATTTAAGAGCTAAGGTGCAATGAACACTCGTAGTGTGACAGTCCTGGGCTAAGTGTTTTGGATGCAATTTTCCTTCATTCCTCATGGCAACCCTCTACTATTATACCTTATCATCCCTGATGCAGAGGCAAAGAACCCCACTGAGCAAGCCGGGGACCCAGGATTCAAACCAGGTCTGCTTCTCTCAGGACCCAGAAGCCAGAGCTTGAGCGCTTAGTTCAATGCAATAGCCCCTCTCTCATGCAAGACCTAAAATTCTGCCTGTGCATTGAAACCCTTCTCTCTCCTGCATAGCATATCCCCGCCCTGACTCTAAATATTGGATTAACACTTGTTTGTGGGGGGAATAAATGGAATGAATGAGCTCTCTAGAATTTAGGCTTCCTCTGCAACCCACATTCACACCTGAAGGAGGAAGGAGTCAGATTTTCACATTTCGAAGTTTTCTCCTTTGGAATTACAACAGTCTGGTAGGAAGTCCTCATTTTTTGGTAAGCTCGCTCTTGTTGTCTCCAGTGAAATAACAAAATGCTCTTGAAATGGCTTATTCCCTGTATTTGTTTCATTCAGGGAACAACGTGAGAAAGCTTTGGAAATAGAACATTTCATTTATAAGCTATCCTGCAGCCCACCATCGGTAATTCAAAACTCTCCTCCTATATAAATTGGTATCATTATACCTTGAGAACCTTACTGAAGAATAATATTTGCAGACCTCTGACTTGCAATGTATTGCTCTGAAAGCAAGAATAACACGACAGCATTTGTTTCCACAGGAGGTTTTCTTCAGAATTTTTAGGAGAGAAATATGTTAGACCTTTATAGGATCAATCTTATGAAAAATTAAATGGTTAATGGGCTTTGGGCTTTACAAATGAGATTCTGGCATAAAACCTAAACTGTGTGGGATCTAGAGTGTGTCTTTTGGGAAAAAAAGAACTAAAAGGAAATCATAAATCTGACAGTTTTTCCACAGGTTGAGCCAAAATCTCCACCATTTGTACATGCACGGTAGCCTCAGCTAGATTCTCTTGTATTAATCCCAACCCAGTCCTATATGGTGCTTTTGATGAAATGATAAGTAAAGTTATCCCTTGAGGCAATGAATAAGAAAAATTGGTGGAGAGAAAGTAAATTTCTTATCAGGGTCATCTGAAATATTGGAATTTGGAGGAACTATCAAGGGAGGAGTGTTAAGATGGAAAAGGATGCAATATATATTTTAATAGCAGGAATCTCTATGATCAGCGCAGCTGCAGGTTTATCTGGAGAGGAGAGTAACCTGGAGGGGAAACTGTAAATAGATGTAACCGGCTTGAACAGAGGAAACGAGTCATCAGGAGGCTTTAGGAGAAGGCGTGGCCTGATACTCTGCCGTGCCCCAGCCTTTAGCGCGAAGCTCGTGTTCAGTTGGTGCTTCGTAAACACATTATTGAATGCACGGATGAGGAAGTCTAGGGGTCAGCATTGTATTTGAAAGGCATGTCTTACAAATTAGTAGACTATTATTTTTTTAGCAGTTTTAGGTTTACAGAAAGTAAAAGTAGAAAGTACAGAGGGTTTTCATATATTTCCTTTCTTCTGCACACAATTTCCCCTGTGGTATTTTGTATTAATGTGGTACATTTGTTGCAATTAATGAGCCAATATGGATACGTTATTACCAACAAAAATCCATAGTTTGCCTGAGGGCTCGCTATTTGAATTGTACATTCTATGGGTTTGGACAAATTTATAGTGACATGTATCCACCATTACAGTGTCATACACAATACTTACCCTGTCCTAAAAATCCTCTGCGCTCTGCCTATTCATCTCTGCCTCCCTCCAAGCCTGTGGCAACTACTGATTCTTTTACGGTCTCCATAGTTTTGCCTTTTCCAAAATGTCATAGAGTTGGAATCGTGCAGCAGGTAGCCTTTTCAGATTGGCTTCTTGCACTTAGTAATATGCATTTAAATTTCCTCAATGTCTTTCCATGGCTTGATAGCTCGTTTCTTTTTAGTGCTGAATAATATTCCATTGTCTGGATGTACCACAGTTTATTTATCCATTCACCTACTGAGGGACATCTCAGTTGCTTCCAAGGTTTGGGCAATGATGAATAAAGCTGCTGTAAACATCCGTGTGCAGGTTTTTTGTGTCCATAGAAGTTATCGTGGAAACCACATTTTTTCAAAAGGCACTTCTTCACAGGATTATTATTATTTTCTTCATGCTAGGATACTTCTAAATATATGAAAGGTGAATTTCATTTGAAATGGAGGTGCATAGTCGCGTGTGCTTTTGCAAAATACTAATTACAACACAAAGAAGTAAAACTCTCAATACTCTACTCTCTGCCCAGTCTGTATTATTTTATTTAGAAATTGTCATATGAGCCAAAAGGGGCATTTTTCCTTCATAGTATAAGCGGGGGTTATATCACCTTATCACTTCTTCCTAAGTCTACTCATTAAACTACTTACCATTTTCAAAGGGATAAGTCTTAAATGAGTGTCAGAGCCGAATAACCCCAAGCCCAAGTGCACAGGTGGTTTGCCTAGCTGGACCAATAACACCATAATAAATGTCTGCCTGATAATGATTTATCATAGGAGACAAACTGCTGAAATGGCCCTCGTGCATCTTATTCCTTGGTTCTGAGTATGACATTCATGTATATAATGTGGCTTCTAGGAATGTTTATTATTTGAGTTAAAAAATTGAGAAAGATTGAACGTACTCTAGCCTGTGGCATTTGCAATCAAATAGCAAAAATATGTCTTGTAACAAACGACTTGTGTCTTGCTTTTGCATCAGAAATCATCTCTGCCACCTCTGTGGAGAGTTGACTCTGCAGTCCTTCTCTCCCTTTTCTGGGCCAAGTCGGTGAGGGTGCACCTGCAGGGCAGAGGGCCTGTCTCCACTGGGGCGTGACCTACCTGCTGGAGAGCATGTATCCATATTCGGTTGTTATTTCTGCTGCAAGTGATACCTGGCATCCTTGTAGAATTCCAGTTGATGCAAAATTCAGTTCCCATGTCGAGACTAATGATGCCACACCCACAGCCAGAGGATGTGAAAAGGTTTGTTGGCCACATAATGAGGCTCGCTGGGGAGAACAGGGTAGCTTCTAAGCTGGTGTGGAAGAAGCTTAAGAGAGATGGGCAAGGAGACTGATTCAGCTTTCATGGTAGGTAGGAGTTGGGGATTTGGATGAGGATTCCTGCATGCCGGCAGGAGCTTGCCTAGTTTGAATCTCCCATAGGCACTGGAGGAGAGAGCACCCAGGCTGTCTTATCAGCTTGGGGGGCACATGTGGAAGAGGGAAAGGTGAGGCCTAAAATCTCTTAGCAATGAAACATCAAAACATGGAGTCACACCTGTTAATACTCTCAAGTATAACTGCGTGCATTAACTTAGTAAATTAAACTAGCAGTATTTCGAGTACATAGATCTCTGTGGAAATTATAAATTGTATACCTCTGGTTTGACTATCATTTTCTTCTGATTTGAGAACTGGTGATAGCTTCCTAATCAGAGTCCGTGTTTCAGCCATTTCTCCAATCTTCCACTAGCTTCTATTTTTTTTTCTCATGGAAAATTTTAAGCATAAGCAGAAATAGACAGAAAAGTACAGTAAACTCCCATATGCCTTTGATCCACCTTTAATGGTTACGAACTCATGCCTAACCTTGTTTAATCTCTACCCCACACACACTTCCGTTTTTCATGTATTAATTTGAAGAAGACAGCAGCCATCGTATTGTTTCATCCGTGGGTATTTCAGTAGGTGTCTCTAATTTTTTTTCCCTTAACGTCTTTTTTTACTGCTCTGATTCTCATTGAGCCTGTCCACTTAACTACACAGGGTTTGAGAGTCTGGGTTTTGGAATCAAATTTAACTCTTACTTTCTGGCTCTCCCACTTGCTATGTGGCCTTGAGTTGGTTGCTGATCTTTTCAGACCATTGTTGCTCCCATCTGTAAAATGGAGCCAGTGCTATTTACCCATAGGTTTTAGTGTAGTGTAAACAAGAGAACGTGTGATAAAGTCCTTTGCACATAGAGGGGGCTCAGCAGATGGTAGCGGTTATTCTTATGTTGATATTGTTATTATTTTGAAGTGTTGTTTTTTGGGGGTAGTAATCAATGATAGTTTTGGGGAAGGAAGGTGAGGACAAGAAAAGGAAAGTATGAGGACTATTGATACTCAAGATGGACAGTTTTAGACTTGGGTATCTACTGTAAGTGTTAAAAGAGGACGTTCATCATAAAATATTTGTAGACATATTTGTTCATGGAAGAGGAGCATTGATGGTTTGTTTTTTTTCCATTCAAGAAGTAAAAATAGTCGACTTCATAACCTTAAGACTATGGCCAGCTGGTGACTGCAACAATTTGGCTTCTCTCTTTTGACACCTTCCTCCAAGTGGCTCATAATCCATGAGCCTGATGCTTCTAGAGTAGTTTAGCAGATCTCTCTACAGAATCACTCCATGATGCCTAGAGTTTCAAGTGATGCTTATAGGTGACACTTAATTCAGTGACTGAATCTTCTTGTCTTCGCCAAGAACCCTGCCACAGTTAGTCCTCCTGATTACGTTGCATCTCCTGTTGGGATCAGCATGGGAGAGCTCCAGTGTACCAGAGCATCTCCTTCCCACCTTGAGAAATTAACGGACAAGTTGATGAGAGCAAATAATCTCCCTTTCTTTTGTAAAGATTGAACTGTTTTAAAATTGAGTATTTTCTCTCCTTCAGGGCAGATCTTGAATGTTCTAGATGAGTTGAGACTGGCTAATAACACCCTCATCTACTTCTCATCGGACCAAGGAGCACATGTGGAGGAAGTGACCACCAAAGGAGAAGTCCATGGAGGGAGCAACGGAATCTACAAAGGTGAGAAATGCTGATGTTGATAAGCTCTGTCCTCCTGGCTCATCTGGGTCACCTTCTCCTTGATCTTAGAGCTTTGGCATTGTCCCTCTGCCTCTTGTAATATACAGAGCTTCATTGTGCCACAGGCACTGAACAGTCAGATGGCCACAGTGGCCATTTCTCGTATGGTCCCCACAGAAATTCAAAGCACACATTCTAGGTCAAGACATTAGAATGAGGGTGTTTTCACCCAAAGGTAAATACAGCCCCATATTGTATAGCTGATTAAAACAAGAACCCCTCTCTCACCTGTGTGTTAGTTTTCTATTGCTGCTGTAACAAATTAACACAAACTTCCTGGCTTAAAGCAGCACCAATTTATGAACTTACAGTTCTGGAGGTCAGAAATCTGAAATGGGTCTACTGGTCTAAAATCAAGGTGACAGCTGGACTGCATTCCTTCTGGAGGTTCTGGGAGAAAATCTGTTTCCTTGCCTTTTCCAGCTTCTAGAAACCACCCACATTCCTTGGCTCATGACCTCTTCTTCCATCTTTACTTTTTTTTTTTTTTTTGAGGAAGATTGGTCCTGAGCTAAGGTATGTTGCCAATCTTCCTCCTTTTTCCCTTTGTTCTCCCCAAGGCCCCAGTAGATACTTGTATGTCATAGTTGTACATCCTTCTAGTTGCTCTATGTGGGATGCCACCTCAGCATGGCTTGATGAGTGGGGCATCGGTCTGTGCCCGGGATCTGAACTGGCAAACCCCGGGCCGCAAAAGTGGAGTGCACAAACTTAACTGCTATGCTGCCCTTCTTTCATCTTTAAAGCCAACAATGCAGTGTCATCAAACCTCCCTCTCTCTCTGACCTTTGCTTCCATAATCCCATCTCCTTCACTTACTCTGACTCTCTTGCCTTGGATTTTAAGAACCATTGTGATTATATTGGACTCACTCGGATAATCCCAATTTTCCCAATTCAAGACCCTTAACTTAATCACATCTGCAAAGGCCCTTTTGCCATGGAAGGTAACAGTTTCTGGGGGATGAGGATGTGGACATCTTTGAGAGGCCATTATTCTTCCTACCTCAACCTGCAATAGCATTTTGAGCTGATACTTCATTCTTGATGCAGCATCAGCTAAGTCACCACTGTGGTGGATCAGGCATCACGCTAGTCCTTGAGGATCTTACATAAGACCCAGCTACTGAGCCCAAGTTACTTATACAGTGTACGCTCTGCAAATGCAAGACATACGTATCTAATTATAATAAAATGTGGCCTGTTTCACAAAGACTTAGATGAGATGCCTAAAATGGCATATCAATGCTAAGGGTTAATACACCTACCTGAATCTGCAGTGGGTGTGAGTTGAACGTACCACAGGAAAGGATGAGTAGAAGTGACCGTGCAAAGAAGTGAAGTGTGGTGTCCCAGACAGTGGGGGGCACCTGAATAAGACAGGAAGATGCACAAGACATAGAAAAGCACGTGACCATCAAATTTTGCTGGCTTAAAGCGATAAAGTGCTTTCACGCTCTTTCATTATTTATTCTCTCGTGTGGATGTTTCAGAGATTCCCAGGGACTCTGGAAATCAGAGTTTACCTCCAAAGATATGAAAGGATAATATATGGAATGCTTTCATCTATTAATTGGTTTAGCAATGTTGATTGAGCTGTGTATCTGGCACTGGGACAGAGGCAAAAATAAATGCAAAATATAGTCTCTGCCCTGAAGGAAGATTAGCTGGTGGTTAATTGGGTGGGTGGGTGGTGGTGAGAAGCCTAGGGAGCCCCATGCGGTTTAATAGGGCATCAACATTTGTTTGTACAAGATGCTAGTAGTGCACGCAGCAAGGAGGGCCTCACTCAGCTGAGGGGGCCCAAGAAATGTTTCCAAAGGAAGCAAGGCTGGGAAGGAGTTAGGCACAGTGTGTGCTCAGTCTCTTGTTCTCCTTGTAGCTCTTTCCGTCCTCCCAACCACTCATCCTCTTTAGTAGTGCTGGCCATGAGGAGAAGCAGCAAATGGCTTGTTCTGCAGACTGCAAGGAGTTGAGTAATGCCGAGTCACACCATGCCTGAGGCAAAGAGATGGAGAAAAGGTAGTCTGTTATCCCTCCCAGTGGTGGCATGTAGCCTATGAAACTTTATACTTCAAAAATATTATGTGCATATCTGGGATCCTATTAAATTCTAAGCACCTTGGGGCAGGGACCATTTCTTAGACCTTTGGTTGCCTGGAGTCTAGGAGGAAAGGATTCCTGTTCACTGCTGGTCTGGACAACCTAGGAGGAAAGGATTCCTGTTCACTGCTG